GATATCATGCTTGGGAGCTAACGCTTCCACCGGTCTCGTGTCCAGGTGCAGATCCGATCCTCCTCTGATCTTAGAGGCATTAGCATTTCAACCGTCAGCCTTTACTTTCTATTTCTTTCAGATTTAAAACTCACTGCAGTCGTTCCTGTGGTCTTTCCTTTGCCTTTCTGCTGTCTTTTCGTAGCCATTTCGATGGACACGATGGTATCGAATGCGATGGTGAGTGTACAACGATGAAACTTTATCGCTATCTATCTTATATGCCCTTTATATTTATTAACCCTTTGCCCCTTGCAGGCTCGCCTTCCCTTCTCGATATTTAACACTTCTTGTCCACGAGGGTCACGTGACATTGTCACGTGATCGTTCGTATTCCAATGGTGGATGTACAATTATTATAACTGTTGTATACCATTGTAGGCTTCATTTTTCCGCCGTCGCAACTGGTTCTATCGGAGGAATATCATCACTTATATATTGCATTTTTATACCTTTACTCTGATATACTCACAACTAACTACAGGGAGCGCATGTATGCAGAATCTATGTTATATAATTATGTCGCTAGTCTGATATACGATATTCCACTGATGCAATGGTTCTATCCACGGCTGTACAAGTCATGTCACTTATGACATGGTGGTCATGATTTTTCCGCCGTCGCAACGGTTGCATTGGCTACAAGTCAGATCGATTATTTTATTGTAGCCATACACTATGGGCCGCCGTTGGACTCGTTGCATCCGCGGCTCTACAAGTCAGATCAATTGTCACAATTATTACATTGTGGTCCTGATTTTTCCGCAGTCGCAACGGTTGCATTGGCTACAAGTCAGATCGATTATTTTATTGTAGTCATACATCATGGGCCGCCAATGGAACGGGGCTATCCGCGGCTCTCCAAGTCAGATCAATCATTTCATTGTAGTCATACACCATGGGCCGCCGATGGAACGGGGCTATCCGCGGCTCTGCACATATGATCACTTTATTTCGTTGTAGTCATACCCATGGGCCGCCGATGGAACGGGGCTATCCGCGGCTCTGCAAATATGATCACTTTATTTCTTTGGCCTCATACCCCACGGGCCGCCGATGGAACGGGGCTATCCGCGGCTCTGCATCTCATATCCCCTGGGCCGCCGATGGAACGGGGCTATCCGCGGCTCCTGTGAGTCGGATCGATTATTTTGTTGTAGTCATACCACATGGGCCGCCGATGGAACGGGGCTATCCGCGGCTCCTGCAAGTCGGATCAATTATTTCGTTGTAGTCATACCACATGGGCCGCCGATGGAACGGGGCTATCCGCGGCTCTGCATCTCATATCCCCTAGGCCGCCGATGGAACGGGGCTATCCGCGGCTCTACAAGTCAGATCGATTATTACAATTATTACATTGTAGTCCTCATTTTTCCGCTGTCGCAACGGTTGCATCGGGGATTCACATAGGAGGATGTACAACTCATAATGTCAATTATTTCCTTGTAGTCATACATCATGGGCCGCCGATGGAACGGGGCTATCCGCGGCTCTGCATCTCATACCCCATGGGCCGCCGATGGAACGGGGCTATCCGCGGCTCTGCATCTCATATCCCCTGGGCCGCCGATGGAACGGGGCTATCCGCGGCTCTACATCTCATATCCCCTGGGCCGCCGATGGAACGGGGCTATCCGCGGCTCTCCAAGTAAGATCAATTGTTACAATTACTATATTGTGGTCGTCATTTTTCCGCCGTCGCAACGGTTGCATCGGGGATTCACATAGGAGGATGTACAACTCATACCACTGATGATAATTAGTACAATTATTACACTGTAAGCCTAATTTTTCCGCCGTCACAACGGTTGCATCTGTGATTCACATAGGAGGATGTACAACTCATACCACTGATGATAATTAGTACAATTATTACACTGTAATCCTGATTTTTTATCAGTGATATATTGCATTTTTATTCATTATACATTGCAAAAATCTATTTGATGTCCAAGTCATTTATGTTTTGGGACCCTTGGGGGTCAACAAAACCCTAACTGTACCCAAACCTATATACGAAAATCCTATATAATGAAGTGAGGAGGTGGAGTTGAGGGACGAGCGAGATGGAGTATTTTGCGGTGTTTGAGAGATCGGTGGATATGATGGAGTGTAAAGGATAGGGAGAGATAGATTAGGGGGGACTAGGAAAAATTAAGGAATGCCCAACCTTGTTGACGATTCATCTCTACACTCACCATATGCTCCTGATGCTCATTCTGGCCTAGTCAATCACTCAAAATTGTATATATACAATCATATTGTACACTGATTCCCCGGTCCAAGTACAACTGATGCCTCTCAGAAAGTGTCTTTTTCTAAGAACCTGTGTTTGTGTCATCAATTAGCACGTCTCAAAGCTATGATGTTTTGTTCACATTTTCCTGTTGAACTGATAGTCAACCTTACATGAGGGACGAGTGAGATAGAGTATTTTGCAGTGTTTGAGAGATCGGTGGATATGATGGAGTGTAAAGGATAGGGAGAGATAGATTAGGGGGGACGAGGAAAAATTAAGGAATACCTAACCTTTTGTTCATCCTTTGCTCTTAGTGATGATTTTCCTAACCTTTCCTCTTAGTCATGCTTCCTTTCCTTTGCTCTTAGTCATGATTCCTTCCCTTCGTACCTTCTTTCCTTTCCTCTTAGTCATGATTCCTTCCCTTCGTACCTTCTTTCCTTTCCTTTATGTCACCATTCCTTTCCTTTGTGTCATCTTTCCTTTCCTTTGTGTCATCTTTCCTTGTTCTTGGCATTAAGTCTAACCATTTTAGACATAGTTCTTCCTCTGTAACCAAGTATGTAATGCTTCTTTCCTTCTGTAACCGATTATATAATTTCCTCTTTCCCTCTCTAACCATATTAGGACTTTCCTCGAAGGAAAAATCTATGCCCCCATAATTTTTCAACTCAAATAGATAGGACTTGCCAGTTATAACCTGTTTAGTTATAAGCCGGATTAGTCACAACACTGATAATACATAATAACCACTTAGTTCGAAAATTTTACCTCTCGGCACGCCATATTTGTGTTTGCCATTGTTTAGAAGCAATGATGAAGTCACCGTGGGATGGTACACTGCGATCTACCATCTACCATGCCACTCTACTTTCCCCTCGAGATAATCATGAAAATCCTCACTCTGGCCACTCGGAGGAGAGCGTATGCGGTATCATGGATTGTATTATCAAAGCGGACATATAGATGGTAAGCGATCAATGTAATACTGAACACATGTAATCCTACTGATCGTCCTGTGGCAGGTTCGAAACATTACTGTATGAAAGGATTGTCATGGTTGATGAATGCCAGGCTGCACTATTCATTCAATGCCTCCGCCTCAGGCGGATGCATGAGGAGTTCGCCCGGACATCGATCAACGAGATGTGGCTCGGTGGCGACATACAGGCCATGACGGTAAATGAGATACTGTCAATGTGCACAGGAATCAGAAACCTTGCCTTGTCGTCATACGGGGATGAGGTTCTCCAGGACCTATCATCTCTACAACCAGTACTGGATGCTCTCCCACTGACTGTGCTGCATCTGCACATCGGTGTCACCCTCACTGATTCCTTAATCGCCAATGTCAATGTCTTCTCTAGACTGACACATCTTGATATCGACGATCATGATTTACTTCAGCATGTTCGCATCGAATCCTTCCCTCAGTTGACTCACCTGTCTCTGTGGGGTGACTGGGGTGACTTGCCCCGCCAACGGCCGAACATGGTGTCATTGATACAGCGACTTCTCGACCATCCAACAATGCAAGTGATTATGTTTCGCTCCGACGATCACGGATCATTGGCAACCTTCCTTGAAATTCATGCGTTCAACGATCCTCGCATCATCATCGTGCCCGAAAAGCTATATTTATGGGATGATTTGGGACGTGGATCCATGTTAACATGGGAGATAGCTGAGGCGAAGGTGAATCTTCCGGAGCCCAATCACTGTCAGTTCTTCCCTGCGAGTATGAACAAACAAGATATACTGACCACATCACGCAGGGTTGCATCGCTGCTTCCCACCCAGCACTGTCTACAATGGATTGAGGCAGTATATGAACGTTGATAGCGTCCCACGACGGATGGTGAACTATCGGATTATTCGGGCCGTCGTATTGAAGCCAGGCATGAAAAGCCGGAACACTAGCCGGGTACGTCTTTATGACTCTTACGGCAGGGACGATTGTAGCGATGATGGCGAGGAAGGTCTTGCGATGTCCGGTGGGGACTCTGACGATGGCTCGGACGAGTAGTACAGTACATATGGTCTGTGTGTCTTGTACTCAGTGTTTGCACGTTGCACGATGGGAGGTTGCATGGAAAGCGGTGGGAGATGGGAGGAGGTTGGCATATAACTTGGGACCGAGTGATCCGGTTAGCAAATGAAGTGGTGCGGGGAGTATGAATGTATCCCTAGGGTGTGATTCCAGCAGCGCTAAGTGAGAAAACGATGTTGAAAAAAAAACGGTCTCACCAAGTCCTCCTTCTCCCTACGAAGCGCCCGGGGGAAGATTCGCGCATAACGTTGGCAAAAGAGGTCCGGGAAACGACCTGACTGGCGCGGGGAGTGGATACAAGTCCCTTGAGTGGGATCGCAACAGTGCTAAGTGAAAAAACGATGTTGAAATAATATACGGACTCACCAAGTCCTCCTCCTCCCACTAGAGCGCCGAGGAGGAAGATTAGGGCATAACGGGAGAGGGAAAGACGCGGGCAGCTAGATATTTCGGCGGGAATGTCGTTATATGCATCTCAATAGGTCCAGAAGATGTTGAGTTGCCTGGAGGTCATGGTGAATATAGGCGAGGCAAGAAAGGCATCGAGAAGGTGCGGGAAAGTGAATATTTCGCAGATGTATTTAAACAACACAATTTCAATGTATTTAATCTGGGTTTTGGTCCGGGGAGAAGAGAATCTCGAGGGCTACAAGATGAGATAAACGTGTCTTTTTCACACTGGTAACTGGAGCATTCAAACTACGCAAAATGTCTCTCAACGCTGTAAGCAAAGTACGGTGATTGAGAACTCATAAATGGAAGCCATAATAGCTATTCGGAAGGCATGTATGAGATTCAGTCGCTATGAGAAGCCCAGGCGGTCATTCTCCCACATATCAGCTCCCCTTCTGATCCCCTCTATGAAATGCTGCTTCTCCCACCGCGCACGATCCACCAATTCCATACATTCTTCAGTGAGAGTCTCCTGTCTCTTTAACTCTGCTGTCAGACGTTTGATATCCTTGGCCTGACATTTGACGACATGTTGCTGGCGCTGTAACCTGGCTTCTACCTCCTGGACGGCGTCGTTTTTCCAATGGATCTCCCACCGATGTTCAGCATCGGTCTGTCGGCGTTCCTCATCGATCTGGCGTTCCATCTCAAGGATTCGCTCTTGTAACTGGTTAATAGTCAGCCTGAGCTCATCCTCTACCGTGCCGATTGTTGGCGGGGTGCCAGAGTGGTGCAGCCAGCGACGGACGTATTCTGCTGTATCCTACATAAAAATGTAAACCAATCCATGCAGAAGCTTGATGCCAACTACCTCGGAGGAATCTGCATCTTCACGAGCATCATGGGCGTTATCCATTGTAGCAGAGTCCTGTGCATGCTGAGCTCGATGTCAATGTACGTACAGATACGAATGATCTTGACATACCGTGAAAGATTCTACATTTGCTTGATCATTATATTTGTGACGTTTTTCCTCCTGGGAGCAAGCAGGGCTGCTAGCTGCACGACGTTTGTTTGTGATGGAGGACATGTCTAATTATGATGGTATAAATGTAACGCAGTTGCGCTATATGAAAGACGCTGTATAGTGTGAGATGGCGGTCTGAAAAGATGTGGGTGTACGGACAGAGCAGGAATGCGTGGGAAACAGAATAATTGGTTTGTAAGTCATCGACATTCGGGCGACACGCACAATCCTATGTCTTGTGGCATTCGACAAATAAAACACCACTGTGCCGAATAAATATGACCATCTCCTGGGTCCATTCACATTACTCGCCCATCCAGAGTCATTGCTAAGTTCAAATCTTGGTTCAATAATCATTCAATAGGCCGATATGTGTGAGGCCCGAAATACGTGAATCCTGTTTTCTGATGTATATAGCCTACTATATACGGTGATCTGCTGAATTTATGTAGTACATGTCTCGCATGACTTTAGGACATGACGGTAGGTAAAGTGCGGTTGTCAATATACGACTGCATTATAATGATTTGGTTATATCTCACAAAATGTCCAATGTGAGACCCGCTTTCAATTTGAGGAATTCGTTGAGCTTCTTGACCGTGTCCTCGAGTGTTGCGCTCTGCATGTCTCCCACGGCCGGACCAATGGAGAGGAACCGCTTGTTGCAAATATTGCCATTGTGCGATGCTTTTGTCCCAGATGATCGACCACCCAATTTTCTATTTTCCATGGGCGATTTGGTATGTCATCTCATAGTGTCCATTATATTGTTGCAACGTGCACAACTCTTTACAGGGCAACAGATCTTGGTGTTGCATCATGGCGTGCAGAAGCACTTGGTGAATTAGAAGTTGTCCCGATAGATTCTTTATCCGGCCATTTTGTTCTTGCTCCGATCCAGGCAATGCAACACGAAGTCATCTTTGACTTCTGGATTACAATTGCATATGACTATGTACGTGCACTACTGTTTTTGTTCGCAATGGCACACTTATTAATGTCTCAAACAGAGCAACCCAGAGGCTGACATCGAGATTGACATTGACAACGATTGATAGTGTTTAATGCAGCTTGTTCGACTCATACAGAATTTCATTTCGTCGTACAAGAAACCCAGTAATTAGCATAACTCCTCACTCCTCATCAAAACCTAGCTCTCCCTCATAATCAGCGAGCTCTGCTTCAAAATTGTCTTCGGTTTCAGCATGCCAGTGGTTAGCATCTTGCTCAGGTACGGGGACCGTTATTTGATCTTCAAAGGAAAAGAATAATCAAATTGTTGCTGTAGCTGACACCACTGTACCACGTACCGTCATTGATGGTTCCATTATACCTTGTGGGGTCCTGTGGACGTGCACGCATCACTCCAAATGTAATCTTTTGAACTGTCACTAATGGCCTGTGCTGCATTAGACTTCGAGGACTCGGTACTGCTTTGAAGTGTTTTCTTAATCACGTCGTCATTCGAAGAAAGTGACTTCAGTGACGTGCGTGATTTGTCAACTTCATCTTCAAGTTGTTTCTAGGCATCGTGCAGTATCGTAACTTGGTGTCGAAGCTCAACCAGCTCTTCCACCTGTTCGTGTATAATATCCCCAGCTTCTTCTAGCTTCTGCGTCTGCGATTTGAGCTCGTGCTCGAGTCGTGTAATGGTATCTGTCAGCCACTTTGGGATGGCGACTCGGGAACCTGCAATTGGTTCAGTCCGGGTAAGATTAGCTGCAATTCGTTTGTCGCCTGCTGATGTGGGTGGAGCTACAGATGATGAATGCAAGCTATTCGGAGTCGTGAGGGCAGTCGATGGTGCGAGTGAAAATTCTGTCAGGGTTGGCGAAACTGATTCCGAGCATTTTCTGGGTACAACAGACATCTCCCGACTGGATAAGGTGAAGGGATGGGCAACAGCAGTGATCGGACGGGTCAAGGCAAATGAGTTCGTAGTACTTCCCACCGCAACACTGTTTGGTGCTCGGTGCTGCATGTGTCCCTGTGGAATTCTTGTCCTGGCCCAGTCCACCCCGATCCGTTCCTGCCTTGTGAGGAGGCATAAGGGTCGAAGAACTCGTGTATGGCACCCAAATGATGTGTATCAAAAGCTTCAAAGCTTCAAAGGGCTCGGATGGTTGCTTGGAGTCGGTACAGCAGTATAGATTCACCAGAGAGGTCTCTGATTGCTGCAGAGGGTGCAAGAAGGCATATGAGTGAGCAGGCGCTGTAAATTGGGCTACATACGGACAAATGTTTGACATGTGGATAATTAGAGAATCTCAATTTTTTGCCATCGAAAACAGACGAATATGGGCTCATTCCGACGATATTCCACCGATCTGAAAATCATCGATTATTTGGTCGATTATCGTTGGATATTTACTCTTTCCGTCGATATTTTGCCGTCGATAACAATGTGTCAAAGTCTGGTGACAGGTAATCTTGACAAATTGGAGGTCGATGCACAATTACATATATATCTATGAAGTACACTACACTACACTACACTACACTACACCACATTAACAATCTCTGGTTTGGCATTAACAGGGGACAGGATGGTGGCTTCCTTCAACATCAATAGACGCCAATGAAAGCACAGAACTACAGACTGCAGTGCAAGCATAGATCAGAGGAAGTTAGAACCAGGAAGAGAAGTTGGCCACCATCATCGACAGTGAGCGCCTACAAAGGCGCGGAACCAACAGGAAGGTGGCCACTGGCCACTATCATCGATAGTACACGCCCACAAAGGCGCGGAACCAACATGGATGGGTAGCACAAATGTTCGATTAACAAATGTTACATGAGCAATCAAACTCGCTAGGAGATTGATGGCAATAAGCAATTGCATGACCATGACGGTTGGTATCGAAGCGGACGGGAGTGCAGTGCTCTTTCAGAAGTCCCCAAAAGCACCCCCACACTACACTGCGGCGTCGTGTCCAATCCTTGAGGTTGTGCGAGATGATGCGTTCCACAGTAGCCCTGTTGACTGGGCTAATACAAGTCAGTGGAAATGGAAACAAAATCGTGGCGCTGCACGCACTACGCTATCACAACCGTTTCACTCAGCTCGCGGGAGAAAATAGTGAGGTCCGGGCTGGCACGTTGGAGGGCTCGAGGGAGGTGAAAGATCTCGGGATATGTGGGCATAGTGTTGGTTGTATTCCAGTAGTAGGATAGTACTATGGGGGAAGGTGAAACAGTGAGTGAGTGAATGATTGCCTGTAGCTTTTATTTATCACCTAGCTCACTGGCAGCACCCTCGGTGATGGTTGCATATCTGGTGGTTAGAAGCAAAAGGCGAGCTTGGACTCAGTTACGGTCACATACCTGATAATCCCGACGGGCCATCATCAGTCTCGCTTCACAAACCACTCATGCCATCACAAATCAGCACGTCTAACACCCTGTCATTTGCATTGCAGCCAGGTGCCAGGATCATAGATTACTCACTGACCAGAGTACCATCTCTGCCATCGATTGTCATAGATGACTCGAAATGGCATGTCTCCACATATAGCTCGCTGGCAGGAGCACTCGACGAGTGGAAAAATGGGTCAGAGTGTCTTGTGGAGGGTTGAGTTGATTGGGGTTTGGGTGTCACCTACATTTTCCACAGTTGAATATATGGAATGACGAGCAGCTATTGAGAACTCACTGACGGTACAGGATGATAACCCATATGCGAATGGGTAACACTCCGGGCATTCCGAAAGGGGGATGGGTGGGTAGGTACAAAGTGGACCATGTACAGCAGCCATGATGGGGTGATGAGTGGAACGGGTGATGTGGTGTTGCGAAGGGAAAAGTGATCTGAAAAGTCAACGTCAAAATCAACATTGCGAGTTCAGTTAGAACGGGACTGGAAGAATGACGGGGTATAGTATACAGCAGTAACGCCATACAACATGCCATTGTCAACACTTGCTGCAAACATCACTGAATTCCATTGCACATCAAGTTTCAAATGTCAGAGAAGCACTTTCAGCTCACGGCGCACTTGACGAGGCATAGGCTTCATGGTTGGACAGGAGGTAGATTGAAATAAGTATATTAGGATCTCAAGACGAGTGGGTAATAAACAGAACTACACAATTACAACGCACATATGGAATGAGTAGCAGCATCGAGAGAATTGTGGTCAGAACGAAGAGGAAGGAACGCTGGCCACCGTCATCGACAGTGAACGCCCATAAAGGCGCGGAACCAACAAAGAATGGCAACAAATATAATAAAATTAAATTGTACGGATCTCAAATCAGCAAAGGACAGGAACATGGCCACCGTCATCGACAGTGAACGCCCATAAAGGCGCGGAACCACACACCGTAGTCCAAAGCATCATTGGTAGAACAAAGAGGAAGGGAAGCTGGCCACCGTCATCGACAGTGAACGCCCATAAAGGCGCGGAACCAACAAAGAAGGGCAACAAATATAATTAAATACAATTCTACGGATCTCCAATCAGCAATGGACAGGAACATGGCCACCGTCATCGACAGTGAACGCCCATAAAGGCGCGGAACCACACACCGTAGTCCAAAGCATCATTGGTAGAACGAAGAGGAAGAGAAGCTGGCCACCGTCATCGACAGTGAACGCCCATAAAGGCGCGGAACCAACAAAGAATGGCAACAAATACAATAAAATTAAATTGTACGGATCTCAAATCAGCAATGGACAGGAGAACATGGCCACCGTCATCGACAGTGAACGCCCATAAAGGCGCGGAACCACACACGATAGTCCAAAGCATCATTGGTAGAACGAAGAGGAAGGGAAGCTGGCCACCGTCATCGACAGTGAACGCCCATAAAGGCGCGGAACCAACAATGATAGTCTAAAGCATCATTGGTAGAACGAAGAGGAAGAGAAGCTGGCCACCGTCATCGACAGTGAACGCCCATAAAGGCGCGGAACCAACAATGATAGTGGTAATGGTAAGAAAGACAGAAGTGACCCGAAGCGCAAATTTATATATCAACTTCACATCACGTGACATTCTCACGCCGGCATCACGTGTAGCAATGCAGAAATTCGGAAAATATGGTCATGCGAAGGGGTCAGTGCGCGGGAAAGCTGTGAAGGGGTCGCCCTCTCGGAACTCGGAGGTCTCGTGAAGGGGTCGACAGTGAGTACTTGAAGTCTGCAGCTATTCTCCTCGCCACCTACCAGTATTGACTCGGATAACATCTCAGGAGTCTTGTGTTTCGCGAGAAGATGCGCTTGGGTGCAGTAATAAATGAGTTATGTTGCCGTGATTCTGTTCTAATTAAGCTTCAGTGGAATAGTGTAGGGTTTCTTGGTGGATTTCACTGACGGTTCACTTCCTGTTGCTTTACAAGATGCTGCATCATCCCCGAGGAGCGCCCGTACATCCACGCAATCCTACTTTCTACGTTCGAATGGCTGAAATCAGGAACGCCCGTACATCCATGCAATCCTACTTTCTATGTTCGAATAATGGCAGCCCCTGTCCACGCAATCCTGCTTTCTACGTTCTAATAAATGGTTGCGCCTGGTACATCCACGAAATCCTACTTTCTATGCTCAAATAATGGCAGCGCCCGTACATCTACGCAATCCTACTTTCTACGTCTGAATAATGACTGGAATCAGGAACGCCCGTACATCTACGCAATCCTACTTTCTACGGTCGAATAATGGGAGGAGGGTTGTTATCGTCGGTGATGTATGATCACAGTTTGTCCTTACGCAACTCAGATTGTCCGCTCCTTCTCTCGAAATTTTCGGTGGCATAGCCACTGTGACATTAAATACATATGGTTAATCAGGTACGTCAATTCACTTCTTCTCCCTCAAACCAAACTCATTCCCCCGCATACAGGTCCTCCATATCCAACTCTTCTTCAATCTCTCCTTTGGCACACTCCAAGGCAGTGGTGCGCATGGCCTTTATTATTTTCTCCGTCCGTTTGAAGCTGCTGACATGTGTGTAAACATTCTGAATTGTTGTCGTCTGAAAGCCCGAGCGTGTGGCAAGTTGCTTGACATGCTCGTCGTATCCGAACAACGCAAAGCGCACGATATCTTGAGCGTGGATTTGATGGTCCACATAGACATCGACAGTTTCGTTGTCTGCCTCAGAGCTGCTGTTAGTGAATAGCCTCACTGTTCTCTCTGTATTTTCCTCTTTGATAACTCATCCCCCAGGAGCCTTGGAGGAAGAAGAGATATTGTGTGGGGTACAGGTGACATTGAGTATTAGCTATACGGTACCAAGTGGTACAATTAGTTTTGCAACTAGTTTGAATGAGGCGAGTGTTTTCTCCCCATTATTTAATCTACAAGCTAATTCTAAAGAACAAGATATGCGACTGCGATGTTTAATCCCTCCAATAATCCCCACCGGAAGGAGGTAATCGCAGAGATCTCTTCCTGTATGCTGAAGGCACACGCTGAGGGTGGGAATCACAGGATGTTTTCACTATCGCAACGAGCATCGATGCCCGCGCCATGCAAATCACCTCCAATGCCGAGTTCCATTCGTTCTTGGACATGAGGGCGGAATTCACATGGATTTCTTTCAAGATCACGCCCAAACATTGGGCTGTAGCTACACACTCTTACAACAACCACCTAGAGGAGAAGAACCGCGCTGATGGGCATGAAACGGTGAGGAAGAACCTCCAAGCCCTTCTCCGAAAGCTCGGCGAGGTCGAAGTGGTCATGATGAATCGCATCGCAAAGAACAACTTTCAGTGTGAGTCCGGCGCTACTTCACTGGCACTCTTTCTAACTACTTATATATAGCTCGTTCCGGCTCGGAAACATTCTGGAGAAGATATTGTCATGTCATTGAGCACATCAAGACCGAGTCAGGGAAGAGGGTGCGCGAGTCTCTAAAACCTGTTGTCGCGTTTTCTGACCGTCTCTCTCTTTGATTCATATTTGCAAGGCCCACACATGCTCCCGCTGCAGGACTGTCATGTACCCCGGTCCAGAGAACTCGGGGTACAATCATCGACGGGGCTTTTGTGCAGAGGGCGCCAAGCAGGTGTCCCAAAATGAGCCGCCTCCACCCTGGCCACAGCCACCAGGCATCTTCTCGGATGGCAAACGCTTCCACCCAAGCACTTTCCTGGAAACGGTCAAGCAAATCTACGAGCAGGTATTTCTCCGACCATCTGGTAAAAGTCCTGCACTCCAGCAGGAAGCATTTGCAACGATGCTGCTCGGACCGATCGACCACGCTTGAATCAGGGACGGTGCTGTTCAAGTTGTATGAGGAGCTCGAGATCTACGCAACGACGCCAGACGGTATGTTGACAGTGCACAGTGGCGTCAAGCACCATCGCGTCGAGTACCTCCAGGAGCACTGGGCCTAGTAGTATTTTTGTTTTTAATTGTTCGTTCATGCTGTCGTGCTTGTGTCTTTGACTTTTCTTTAGCTACTTGCACCTTTCCCCTCGCTACACTAATGGCTTCTTTTGTTATATTTACAGGTGGTATTCTCGTTATTCAAGCCCCCATGCTTCGTGTATCCCTTCCCCCTTCTTTTTTTCAACTATATCACGTGACTTTACGATTGGTCTCGCAAATGGTCCCTCACGTGCACGACCATTTTGGCGTCACGTGAGACCAAAAATGGTCCACCCCTTCGCATGACGAAGTTGCCGAAATTCGGACGGGGATTACATTGCGGGCAATAAACTAGGGGGGATAATAAAAGTCAACTACATTCGCGTGATGATGCTTTCAGTCCATTGTGTGAATCCGAGCATCAATTGACATTGCATCAACATGAGAGGACCGTTACACATGTGGCTAATACAGCGGGCAATTGTGATATGTATGTACGTAATGAGCAACCTTGCTGGATTCGCCAATGACAATTAAGTACAAAGGAAATGTGGTAAAGAATGCCGATAACGTACGAATATCTTGATAGCCAAAGGCATTCATAAGGACCAGGTAAAATACATCGATCATAGCCTAAGCGATGTGTTCAACTGCTCGAATAGTTTGAGTGCATCGACTATTTTGCCCGGGTCAAACAGATCGCCAGTGTATAATACATCGCCAGCAAGGGCACGTTCAGTGACACCTAAATGGTCGCAGATAACCTGCGAGATTGAAGTGCTGGGAGTTGCAGTTTCGGTATCATCCATGTATTGTGAAGTGGTGCCGATGACGCGGTAGTGTGCTCCCTGTGTTACCATATTGCACAGGCTAAGGAGGGACCTTTCCTGCAAAACTGATTACATGGTGAGCACTTCCTATGCATCGTCCGGATATATGTTACTGACTAATCCTCGGGGAAAGAAATGGAATGCTGAGCACCATACGACGCATTGTCTCCAACACATGATTGACAGCCCGCTTTGTCTGCGAATGACTGATATCCAAATCAATGTGGCGTGCAAGTTCTGTGAGGTGCATGCACGCATAATGAAAGAAATGTCCTCCGGTGCAAAATGATGGAACCAGTGTATACACGGCGTGCAACATGCCAGGAGGAAGAATCCTAATATACACGTGCATGAGTGACCAAAATATAACATGAATGCTTGCCTTACAATAGGTTGCCTGGTACTAGGGTGATGACCTCACCATCGGAATTCTTTTCCAGCCATTCTATGTTCATCGGGAAGTGTGCAAGTCTCAGCGCAAGTTCTTGTAGATGGGAACGATCATTGAATTGTTTCTTCAACCTGAACACAACCCAAAGCTTTACACCGGCCTCCATCCTCACCCACGTTAATTTTCCTTGACTGTACTGAGCAGGATACGTTATGAATCCGGCGTGATCCAGTAATCCCCATCCTGTTACAGTGAAATTCTCCGACTGGACCTTGGATTTGATTGGCACAGTGTGCGTCGTCTGATTCCACCCGTGGACGAGGCCATGATCTAGTTCTCTAAGAGTCATGTTCGTGACTTCCGTTGTGGACATACATCAATGTCACTTGTACCTGAGTTCATCTGGCAATGTGATGTGCGCAAGTGGTATATCATGTATACCTTGGATCGTTGTGGGATCATTCATCGACTCGAGAAATCCACTGATCCTTCCACTGAAAGTAGGGTGCAAACGGTCTTTACATCGCCTCCTCATATCTGATTTCGGCATCAGTCATCTACAGCAAGATGGCACGGATAAACGTGTACCATGAACAGAAACTGGTTGATCCTTTGAGATCCCGAATGAACGGTCGAGGTAGTCGCTTGTTAATCCGTTGCAAGGCGGCTTGTGTGGCACCGCTTGGAATACAACACACTTCTTCATGCAAAGTGTATGACCAACCAGCTCTGCGATACGTGTGACCTTTGGGCCACCAATGCCAGTAAGCGCGTGCTTGCTCAGGTGGACTACATGCTTTGAAGCAGGGGTGGATGTACGGAGCTTGCTGATGAAGTTGATCAGGGGAATATCGACGTCATCGCACAAGTTTTGATCTGGATTTGATTCATCGTACAACGCCGGAAGGACACTCCTGTGGCCATCATTCCATGTGATAGGATTTCGATGTTGCGGGGACTTGCGTTCCGAGCACCCCAATTGTAATATCTAGCGGTCTTACAGTAGACATGTTGGTGTTCTGAAGAAGAAGACCGAATGGCCAGAGAAGGAATGTTGACAGGACGGCGAGATTGCTGACATGATATTTTCCAAAATGTTACTGTAATACAAATTGCGTTAATATCAGTCCAGGTACCAAATTTACATTAAATGCCCCCAGATTGACGTGGCCAATGATTTGATTGAGCTGCTAGCGTGTCAATGATATTCAAGAAGTACCACGATCATTGTGTAGAGTGCTTGCCAGCAGTGCTCGATAGTAACCTAACCTAATGAATCGTTGATGTTGCACGTGATCACGCCTGTGGGGTAACACGACGATTGCGTGAAGAGTTAATGTACAGCAGAGTGGAGGTGACATTGAATCGATGATGAGCCAATCCGAAGTAGCACAGTGCGATTGTTAGGTGACAGTATGCTTTCTAATGAGTGACAAAATTCCTAAGCACAAGGTGACATACAAGAGTCACAAGTCAAGCGATGCTTCCAAGTGAGTCAGTAGCTTGGGTCGGTCAATGACTACTCCAGGCTGAAGCTGATCTCCGATGTATAAAATGTCGCCAACCTTTATGCGTCCTGATACGCCTAAATGCTCCAGGATGGCCTCCGAGATCACCGCACTAGGCGCTGCAGTTTCGGTTGCACTGACGGACTCTGCACTGCCTTTTATCGCGCGGTAATGTGGTCCCTGGATCGCCATCTTACACAGACTGAGAAGAGGTCTTTTGTGAAGGACTGATGGGATGATGAGCGCGAGCGTTACCCTAAGCATTCAAATGTCACTCACTGATCCTCGGGGCAAGATATGGAATCGCAAGCACCATTCGACGAATGGTCTCCGACGCATGATTGAGATTCTGGTTGGTTGTACAATGCCCGACTTCGGCATCCATGTAGCGCGCGAGTTCTGTGAGGTGCATGCAAGAATAATGATAAAAATGACCACCTGTAGCAACTGAAGGGACTGGTGTGTAGACGGCATGCACAGTGCCAGGAGGAAGGATCCTGTGATCCTTGTACATTAGCGCCACAAATGCGAACGTGACCGTTTCACTTACAATAGATCGCCTGGTACGAGAGTGATCACCTCGCCGTCGCAGTTCTCTTTGATCCATTTAATGTTCCACATGTAATTGACCAGTCGCATTACCATTTCCTGCAGGTGAGAACGATCGGTGCTTCTTGATTTCAACCTGAATATCGCCCAAAACTTCAAACCAGCCTCCATTCTCACCCACGTCAATGTTCCTTCACAGTCGTGATGAGGATACGTTACATATCCCGCGTGATGGAGTAGTCCCCATCCCTTGACTGTAAAGTTCTCTGGGTGTACCTTCGACGTGATCGGGACTGTGTGCGTTGTTTGATTCCATCCGTAAATGAGACCATGATCCAGTAGTCTGGGAATCCTGGTGAGGCCATGCGTCACAGACATACCACAATGTTCCCCGTACCTGAGTTCATCTGGCAGTGTGACGTGCGCCAGTGGCATATCAAGTACACATTGTATCGTGGTGGGATCATGAATAGAATCGATGAATTGACTAATCCTGCCCGTAATTGTAGGTTGTGTATGATCCGCGCATCGATACCTAAGATCTATCATCGCGATCAGTCATATACAATATGATGTGAGCATGAGAACATACCATGCATGGACACCGGTTGATTCGGTGAAATACCAAAGGCAATGTCGAGGTATTCAGTGGTCAATCCATTGGGCGGTGGCTTGTGTGGCACGTCATGCATGAGCACACACTTGTTCGTGCTGAGTGCATGCCCAACCATATCTGCGAGAATTGGGGCATCTGCGCGCCTTGGAGTTGTGAGCACGCCATTCCTCAGATGGAAGACAACCTCTGAATCTTCTGTGGACGATGGCAACTTGCTGAGGAACTTGATCACCGATATATCAACTGAATCGCATATATTTTTGGTGGGGTCAGAGTCGTCGTACAATGCTGGCAGCACGGTTCTACGGCCATCCTTCCAAGTAATACATTTGGACGTTTGAGGTACTTGCCGTCCCAGGACCCCAATGGTAAGATCTAGCTTTTGAGCGGCTGACATGATGGTGTCTCAGAAAGAAAGAACGTTCAGCCCGAAAAGGAATTTTGATGAAACATCAAAATCACGGACAAAATTGTCCCAAACAGTAATAGACTAAGCACATGCTGTGCGTATATTTGCAGGCACCAAATGCGTATGTAAGGAAATGTCCGGTCTAGACGGTGCTACAAATTACAACTACACAATGCATTTTCAGAAGAATATCCATACTGTCACATTGCCGCAATGCAGATCTCAACGAGCGCGCTGACTAATACAAGAGCCCAGCCAGACAAGAACAAATGTATGAATGTTCGTACGATATTATCTATGTGTCACTTGGGAGTGTGCGGGTCATCATCGTGAGCCATTCCTGTCTGATGGTGTTACTGATTGGATGGTTGAATTAAGCGATAACTTACATCATTGTCACCCTCAAGTTTAGAAATCGTCATGGAACAATCGTCGACCTCTGCTAATGGTATGGAAGCAGCAGAACGTTCCAAAGAGAGACTGGGTGTAGATACGGAAGTCTCTGGGTTTGTTGATTCTGCTGGGAGCGTACACAACACGCGTTCAGGCGCTGGCGATGGGGTGCGACGGACAAGGACTATCGGAGATGGTAATGCCACGGTGAGGCCAGCTGGAGACGGTCCTGCGATATCGGGGGAATTTGTAGGACCTGACGCAGGCGTAATTGCAACATCGCCGTCATACTCTGGAATAGTAGATGGCTCGTCCTGTTGACTCCTGGTGTCCATGACCACATTTAACTCGCTGATGGTATCCATATTCGCAGACGACATGCTGTCCGACACGCGCAAATCATTTGGTGATGGAGAAATTGATGGTGATTGGACGTTACTTGCATGCCCGTCTTTGGGACGCTTTGAAGGACCACGGCCACCATCCTTCTATTTAGTGTTAACATTCGAACTGAAACCTTGGCATATGGATCTAACCTTCAGTGGAGACCCCTGGGATGACGATCTCTTGCGCTTCGCCGATGGGTGTGCACTCAGCATGCTGCCATGACCTGAATGCGCAGGCTTGTCATCAATCAGCATGGAGTTCATTGCATCCGTCACGTCTTCATCGTTTGAATCTGGCTCAGTAGCCCCTTCAGCCTCTCCTCCCATGTTGTTGAATCCCTTCCACGGAAAATGAATAGCAGACATCGTGCTGAGGAGATGATAAGCTTCAAGTAACCTTTAACAGGACGACCTACCTCTCTTCAACGGCTGGAGGAGACATTGCTGGCCACATAGTTGGGTTGCTCTGGCCTACATCTGACTCACTGATAACCTTGCCAAGGGCGTGGAATATATGGCTTAGAAATCGGGATGTGGTATCCATGTGGACTATTGCACTATACAGCCGCTCCATTCCCAGGGCTTCAAAGAAGTCGTCTTCATTTTTGAACTCCATCAATCTTGGACTCCCGGGAATGACGATTCCATTGACCTCGTCATCGATGTCGGCGTGAGACAGCTGGCGGAAACGCAAGAGCATCCAGGATGCAAGCTTGAGGAACACGTGTGAGTTGCCGTCCTCAAACGCGACCTGAGTCCACCATTCCCAGTCGCCCCGAACGGGAGGTAAGCCCCTCCCATCATCTTCTCCCTCTGCATCCTGCTTGGAAGCATCAGATTATGAGTCTCAGAATGAGCGTGTCCCAGGTGAGCGATCTCACCGATTGCATTGAATGTGAACTGTCAGCCTACAAGTAGTCATGGGTCAGTAAATACATTTCCACGTCAAAGGATAACTAACTAACATTGATGATAGACGGTACATCAGCATGCATTGAAGACGTTTCGATTGGATCCGAGTCAGAGTCTACGATGACTGGGGCAGCCTTGCTTTTCCCCTTCCCCGCCTTTGATTTTCGAGCTGGTTTCCGATTCTTCTGTGACTTCTTCGCATCATCTTGGACTTGATAGCGACTGGCAATTTGTTCGGCGGTGCTCTGCTGGAAGGTATTAGACGTGATATGTGAGATGAACCTCTCGCCAACCTCGTCTCCTGTGTGCAAGGCATCCGACTCTCGCATCTTAGAACTCCCCTGGACGGTCGCAGGGCTCTGCTGAGATACATCATTCTTCATCTTTGTAGATCGTAATCCAGGCCTTTTGCTTTGAATGGGACTCTTGACTGCTTCGACATCAACCTGCATTACATCCTGAGATTTCTTTGACGTGGCAGAGGGCACTGTCGTTGCCTTGACAGCTCGTCGTTTTTTCGGCGCAGCTTTGATGGATTCATCATCGTCTTCAACGTCAGTAGTCTTCTGTGTGGTATTCACATTCGTCAGAGCTGCAGGATCGCTTGATGTCACGTCTTCAATCAACTGAGCGATGACCATATCTACTGAGTGTATGTGTGAAAAGGGTCCACCACACATGTTCTTTCCATCAACACAGTGCGTTTCATGCAATCGTTTGGCAGTCACTACGGTAATAGAACAATCAATAGCAATAACGGAGGGGACATAGCAAATAAACTTACTCTGAGTGACCGTTTTGAAAGCCTTCTTCTCTTTGAATTGAATCCAAGTTCGCTTCATTGATGCCAGTGCAGCGATCTGCCGTTCCTCCGTAAATGCACTGTCATATACCAACATAGCAATGTAATAGTCGAGATGTGCCGACCGCCACTTTGGTGTGAAGCTCGACCGATCAACTTTTGCTTCGCGATGGAACGCAGTGATGATCATCGAGCAATATCTGACGAGCGATAGGTAAAAGTCCAAAGTCTCATCGACCTCGGGTGACTTTGGAAGCGTTCTGAACGTCTTTGCAGCATCTTGGTAAAGGTGCAATTGATGAATGAGGAAGCGAAGTGAATCGAGGCATAATCGGGGAACTTTCACCTGAAATATGAAGGTGTTTAAGAAATCCGACAGAGACATTCAGCGCAGGAGACTCACCGTCTCACGTTGATCGACGATCTTTAAATGAGTGATGTTGTCCTTCACAACCAGCGACACATCATAAGAGAGCAGGACTTCTGTCATGGCCAATGAATGAGAAGTGATATCCAAGGCGATGGGGTCCATGGGCTGGGATGACATTTCAATATTGCCACTCTGTGACCTGGTGTTAAAGGGTGTTGAAGTTGTTATGGTGTTACAATTTAACGCTAGCTCCCGATATGGTAATGTTTACAAGCTGTACAAAACAACCTCATCAGTCGCAACACGTGTGAAAAAATCACCTTTGACAGATCCTACACCATCAACAAATTGGTCAACATGTTGAATCGCCACCACTTTGCTAGGAAAGTCCCAAATGTGGCACCTGCAGCACAAGCTGTTGCGCGTTCTGTTCCAGTAGCAGGTTCTACCAGTGCTGCGCCACCGGCAGCTTCTACAAGCCCTACACCGGCAGCAGGATCTATCAGTCTTACTCCAGCAGCAGGATCATTGAGTGCTACTCCGGCAGCAGGTTCTCCGAGTCCTTCTACTTCAACACCATCTACGGGTACTTCTCCTATAGCAGATTCTACGAGTACACGCGAAGATCAGCAGTCATCAGGGCACGTGGCAGCGAAACGTACCACGCCAAGAACACAGGTGCAACCTTACACAGGGCACGACCTGCGTCCAAAGCGTAAGAAACGTGTGCCAGTGAGGCATTCCATGAATGCGCCCTACGTGAAACTCACACCGATTCTCGACGAGGACTCAGACGCCATGAATATCGACGCAGTTGATGAGATCACAGTCCGACAGCACCAGGCGACAGACATGTTGAAGGATCCAACCGTGGTATGTTCCAAAGCTGGTGATATTAAACCCTGTCATTTAATATCGTTCAGTGCTGCGTCTATTGTCACGATGTCGGACCGTATATCTGGATATGCACCAGACCTGAGTGTGGTATCCCTGTTTGTGTCGGAATGCAACATGGCGACCTAGCATGCATCGATGCATCGCCAGATCCATTCACAGGTCATTGCCGTGTGACACAAGCGTCATTCAAATGTCCTCAATGCTATCGCGGAAGTTCCAGCATGATTCCGGTGAGTACAATACATACATTAAATTTCAAACTAAGCTGATCTAAGATAATTCAAAAAGTATCGTGTTCAAGGTTACTCCGTTCGACAGGAATATGTGAATCGCAATTATTTCCCCCTGCTTGCTATTTTCTTGTCTTGGAGTGGCTTCGGGACCCCATACGCCTCAACTATCATCAAAGCAACACTCGCGGAGCATTTCCGTCGTGACAACACCAGAGTGCGCAGTCTATGTTGCACTGGCACGATTTCAAAACCTAATGTTATTTGACACAGCTCCGAATCGCATCACGCTCCCTCAAAGCTGGTAACAATCGCCCAAGCGCTGTGACGCCCGATTTCAAGTGGCTTGAGAATGTTAATCATCAGGGAAACCTGCTGATCTTCGTTAATACCCATTCCGATACCGTTACCGGGAATCTTGTTGTGGCTGGCAATCAAGAAAATCCTCAGTCAGTGCCAGTTCATGAGGTGGGCATATTCATGTATAGTCGGCTTTGACTGATCACACATATGTTACTGTATACAGCTGCTATCGAACTACATTGGAAATGACAATCTGAGGGGTGCAACACAAGCCATTGCTGCAATCAACAAGGGATCGGGCGCCGGGCCGTGTATCCGGGGCCTCGTGATATGCTCCTGCGGATCCACGGGAAGAGTGAATGGCAGTGTAACTTCGTTGAAGCGCATGGTGGAGCGGTACGTTCTCTGTTGATAACAACTCTACGGACTGTTCTTATTCCTAACACCACAGTGACCTCTTCGATTTTGTCCTAACGTTCGCGGGCGTCTCAACCTTGGATTCGGTCGTTGTTCCAGCGCTCAATCGGTTTATCGAAAACGTATATGTTTACGACATGAAGATCTGGGATGCATTGGAGGAATCGTTTGGGGAGGACAGACACGCCCTCAATCAATCTCCTGTCATGCTTTCATTTGCAGACATCCAAGTCGGCGCGGACAAGGTCCCATATCGCGTGGTCGACACCAGAGTTCTCGCATACTCAAACCTCAAGGACGGTAGGCCGTGGGGTCTGGACATCTACCGATGTTGGAACGAGACTTGTCAGGCGCCTGCATATAACATGATTTTTCATCCTCATGGAAAGCAGCGTTTTGGGATGCAGTGGGTGCAGACAAAGATGAGGTATCAGTGCTTGCAATGTAAGATGGAACAGAGGTCAATCCCCTGTCCAACATGGATCCATGCAGCACGGTCTCAGAACTTTGGACGTGTTTGGTACCAGTGGCCCCTCAGCACCAAGCAGAAACGCGAGATAGGCATCAGATATTGATTGCGTAACACTTTACATACATCGTTGTTATCATGCTCTGTACTATCCATGTTGTGTTCCTGTCGTTCTTGCTGCTTTGGCGATGCACTCATATTGGACTTAACTACTCGTATATTGTTCGCGCAACGTGCATCACCATTCAATTCCACTTGTGTCTGTTCAATGTGGTGCATTCCTACAGGGCTCTCACCATATTTCAACAAAATGTCCTTGCGTCCTAGCGTGACGATGACAGTTGGCTTTTAATCGTTCCTACAGGAATATGGTCTGCCTCGTGATTGACGATCGATCCGTGTTGCCCGTCAGTGATAAGTGATAAATAATGATAATGATTGAATGAATATGCGTTGACCACTGAGTACAGTCAAAGGCACAGCACGCATAGCATTTGTTTCTGAATTGCTTTGTTCATTCGTTCAAATCACACGGAGGATCAAACTTTTGCAAACTGCTCCTGTTTCCGTCCCTGTCTAGTGGGCAGATTGATTTTATTTTGATAAACGAATGAAATTGACGGCAATGTGTTAATGTATCACAGAGTTGAAATCTGTGTGCCCGGCAACAGTGCATACATATACCCTAACCCAATTGCACGCTCGTCATGGACTTTGTGAGAACTGCTAGAACCCTAAGGCCGGGCGCGTATGGGTCATCGTTGTGATGTTTAGTGTTGCGAAGTAAATATCGCAGCACCGACATCACATCATTACCGATGTCATGACTCTGAATGTTGCCATGAGCTCAGCGACACCGCAAATATTTAATGAAAGTTGACTGTGACTGACCCAAATCCTCTGCAATACACTACACACAGATGCCTCGTCTGATAGTGCTCGAGTTGAAAATTCCTGCAGGACATGATCGGCCTGATGAGATACCAATGAGCATTGATCTATTGCCAAGAACATTGCTTTCTTACAAATGGTGACATCAGGATGTCTGTGTCCTTATGCAGGAAGCCGTCGCGGCATTCCTTTGCTATGTCGTTCAGCCAGAATTCGATTGACATCAAAGACAACGCCATTTTTCTCATATCACCATGTATCAGTTTTTTGCGCAGGAGTGATGCAACATACCCAGCCACCGCCAACCATGACTCATGGTGAGAACGGATTGTAGATTGAACAAACTGATATCCGTTTTGGTCCATCAAAAACATATCAATCTATATCAGTCATATGAATGAACGCGCTAACATGTAGTATGCAGCACTTACACAAGGTGTTGAAGGTGTGTCATTCAACTGTGCCAGTGTTTCGTCCACGAGATCTTGTAGAGTGTATTTGTTCTTGTTCGACTTCCGATTTGTTGGCTTAACCTTCTGCCTAATGGTGTTCCGTTTGGCGGCAAATAGCACAGGTCGTGTAGGTTGCAATGTCGGATGCCTCGTGACGGGCATCTTTCCAGTGGGCTTCTGCTTCATGCGGTCACGTAATCTTGACTTCAGTGGAGGAGAAGTAGCTACATCGATACTCTCCTGAGAACGAGCTTCAATGTAAATACTGGGCTCTTTATTGACAAGAGCGCCCTCCGACATCGATGTCGATGGTTGGCTACATGGGTCGGAACCGTCAAACGTCACCATGGCCGATATGCCACTGGAATAACTGTTGTTGGTGCGTGATGATATCAAACATCCAGCGAAATCCTGCATCAGGTGCAAAAGGAAATGAGAATTGGTACGATGTCAGGAACTCAATTGAAATGCCTACCATAATATTGCAGTGCTCATTGGGCGTGATCATTGAAGGCTTGCATTCCAGCTTCGATATGCAGTTACCATAATGCGTATCCGTTGGCACGTCTTGAGCGTTGTCCTGCATTCATAACATCTACATCAGCATTCCGACAGGTACGGGAGGTGTGTTCATACCGGATCGCTGAATCCAGTAAACACCAGGTCATCGGTTGACTGCAGGGAAGCATCATAGGTCTCCGTTGGGATGTCTTGAGCATCGTCCTGCATTCATAACATGCATATCAGCATTCTGATAGGTACGGGATGTGTGTTCATACCGGATCGCTGAATCCAGTAAATACCAGGTCATCGGTTGACTGCAGGGAACCCGAGTCATATGGCCGATCGGCCGCGGTGTCGACAGCATGTGTTGTGCCATCTGAAACATTAATGTGTGATTGCTGTGAATACTCCTGGATTTGTTATATCAAAACTGGTATCATGAGAGGTTGTGAATTGCAAATCCTACCATGAAATCGATATCCGCCTGAACCATGACAGGAATTGTAGGATCGCATTTCCAGTCCAACATGGCTACATCAGCGTGTCGGTGGCAGCCAGGAGTATCAATGCCTGGATTGTCTCCACCGTTCTGAACCCATCATGTCAACATTAAGATTATGCTAGGAATAAGCACAGG